TGTGTGTGTGTGTGTGTGAGTGACTGAGTGAATGAGTGTGAGTGTGTGTGTGTTTGTGTGTATGTATATGTGTGTGTGTGTGTGTTTGTGTGTGTGTGTGTTTGTGTGTGTGTATATGTGTGTGTGTGTGTGTGCGTGTGTGTGTGAGTGTGTGTGTGCCTGTGTGTGTGAGTGACTGAGTGAATGAGTGTGAGTGTGTGTGTGCCTGTGTGTGTGAGTGACTGAGTGAATGAGTGTGAGTGTGTGTGTGCCTGTGTGTGTGAGTGACTGAGTGAATGAGTGTGAGTGTGTGTGTGCCTGTGTGTGTGAGTGACTGAGTGAATGAGTGTGAGTGTGTGTGTGCCTGTGTGTGTGAGTGACTGAGTGAATGAGTGTGAGTGTGTGTGTGCCTGTGTGTGTGAGTGACTGAGTGAATGAGTGTGAGTGTGTGTGTGCCTGTGTGTGTGAGTGACTGAGTGAATGAGTGTGAGTGTGTGTGTGCCTGTGTGTGTGAGTGACTGAGTGAATGAGTGTGAGTGTGTGTGTGCCTGTGTGTGTGAGTGACTGAGTGAATGAGTGTGAGTGTGTGTGTGCCTGTGTGTGTGAGTGACTGAGTGAATGAGTGTGAGTGTGTGTGTGCCTGTGTGTGTGAGTGACTGAGTGAATGAGTGTGAGTGTGTGTGTGCCTGTGTGTGTGAGTGACTGAGTGAATGAGTGTGAGTGTGTGTGTGCCTGTGTGTGTGTGTGTGTAATGGTTTTTCTACTGTACAAACTGTATTTTCTATCCTCTTACTCTAACCCTACACCTAAACCTACCCCTCAATAGTACTCGACATCGGTCTTGGTCTTGTCTCGGTCGTATTTGTACTGTATTGCGAGCGCTTTCTGTGTTTATTTGCCTCTTTATGATTAATCACTTGTTGTTTTCCTCAATTGTAAGTTGCTTGGGATAAAAGTGTCTCGTTAAATGAATAAATAATAAGTAAATGTCTAAGAGGACTTTGGATTTTATTTCAAGACCGATCAAGACCACATCTGTAGGGATATCACTAAATTGCCGACACACTGTCTGATTTAATTGTTAACATCATTAATGTGATTGGATGTAAAACTTCCTGCTTCAAATGCAAATGCAAATAACTTATTTCTAATTGAAATTCTTTTGATACTGTTGTGCTGGGATATAATTGCATAGGGAAATGTGTAAAACAAATTAACTAAATTAATAAAAACACCCAAAAAATTCAAGATATGATTGCAAAAAGTACTTGTATGAGATCATGTTTTATAACATATGCAATTAAGTAATATCAAGAGCAAGAGAGCTGTTTTCACGAATATGAGCATGATTGCAAATGTGATACTGATTTTATACAAACCTTCAATGAGCAAGAAGTTAATATTAAGTAAATGACATTTTAGACACAACTTCAAACACAAGTTTTTGCTATTTCAACAACAAAAACAGTTCCAGACAAATCCACAGCAGAACTGTTATGTGTTTCTGAGTAACACAGTGGTGATTCGTTACTGAATGAATCATTTGCTTTGAACAAATCTGTTGCATAAATGATTCCATGACTCATTCATTAAGTCATTTGCCGC